CCTAAAAAATTTTCGCTTTTTTTCCAAAAATTACTATGGCAAATTAACTGATATCCAATTTTAGCAACAACTAAAATTTACCAATAAATAATAATAAAAGTTTTTTTCCAATAGTCCTAAATCTCTGTTTATTTTCTAACAAAACTTGTTTTGCTGCTTAAGTTGTTAGCACAAACTGACGCATTCAAGTAGTTGGTTGCGTGAAGTAACGCATCCAATTAGTTAAATACGTCAGTTATGTAAAGATAAAGAATGTTTAGAAGCCAAAAACTAATTTAAAAAAAATTAATGCCATAAAATTACGATAAAAAATTCGATAAAATATGAAATTTAATACAGTAATTGTTTAGATTTGAAAAATTGAAGTAATGAAACGAAAGCTAAAATGTAAATGCAAATGGAATGGCAATATAGCACTGAAAATAACTTATAAATTAGTATAAGCGAAGTGGATTTTAAATTGCATGACTAATATTTATGAAAGTAAATTAGTATTTATGGAAGTAAAAGTTAACTGTACTTATTGCCTTAATTAATGACATTATTAGCTGCAAGATATAATTATAACGCTGCGCTGTATTTCAAATTATACTGAAACTTTCTGTAAATTATATATATCAAATTTAAAAACAGAATAGTAAGAAGGGGATGAGTTGTTATCAGTGACTAAATTTATCATCACAACTGCTTAACACTGAAGAGTAACGAAGGCATACTTTGAATATTCTATGCAATAATTGTGTAAGCCAAAAACTGTGCTTTATCACTTGTTTATCACTGATGTTATGATTGCAATTACTTATGATAGCACAATAATATATTATAGTCTATAAAGTGGCTGGTCAAACATTTGTGACTGTAATTTGCAAGAGCTAACATCATATTTTTTTAATTATCAAAACTGAAAAACAAGTAATATTGATGTCTAAAGTGTTATTATTATTATTGTAAAATCAGTATTATTATCTTACTATTACTATGATTAATGTTACAAAATAAATTTTAATATAAATAATAATATTAATTACCATCATAAGAAAATGCAATCATTATCATTGTTGGTGTTCTTCTTTACTGTAAATAATATTGATACTGTAAGTGCTGCAGCTAAATACAGTGATAGTTTTTGTTACTGTGGATCGTCTAAGACTGACTTTTTAATGAAACGTAAAGCTAAGACTATGTTAGTCAAAGTAAGCCTATTTGGAAATTTGCAAGTTGCAGAAAACAAGATGCATTTGCCACCTCTAAACGGAAATGAAGAGAAAAAGTATGGCCTTTAGGCTTTCCTTCTTGCTAAGTACACGAGGCAAGAGTCTTAAAACATACATCCATATATCTATCCATCTATGTACGCATTAATCCACCCATTCATTGATCAATACTCTAAAATATTCTGTGCTTTCTTTACTAAGCCTCAGGAACTACTTTTTTGGGGCCTAAGTCAGGCTTTACATAGCTGTGCTTCTTCGCTAAGACACTCATTGCATAAATGTATTGCCAGTGCTCCCGTCTCTCTCCTTTGCTATTATTCTTATTACATTACTCACGTGCGTCATTATATATCCCTGGTAAGTTTTTAATTTTTCACGCATGTCACTATATATTTAAAAAATTCTTTTTTATTCACGTATTGCGCAATTCATACGTGTATTGATTGAGATTATTTTAAGTTTTATATATCCCAATTCACAATGATTGTTTCAAATTTTCTTTTTTTCATTTACTGATTTCCATGCATTTTACATTATTAAATATAAGCGATTATTTTTCTTTCTTTAATTTTTTCATGCGCTGTTTTTTACAAAACTAAATGAGGTCATGAACTTTAATAACATTTTGATTTGTTTGGCATATTACAAAAATTTTCAAAGAGTAAAGACAGCATTAATGACATTTATTGCATTTTGAACAACGATAAAAATGAAAATAATAATAATAATAATAATAATAATAATAATAATAATAATAATATAAATAATAATAATAATAATAATAATAATAATAATAATAATAATAATAAATAAATAACTGCAATTTTTAAAATTGCATATTTGATACAAATTCCATATTTGTCTCATCTTCTCTATATGTATTATGAATTCAATGAAGCAAGTAATTAGTCTTGTTAAGAAAAACTCAAACAAACGGACGTAGCAAGACATTATTAATAAAAAAATGAAGTAAAATAAAATAAATGCTTTCTTATCAATTCAATGGATGAATAGTTTTGATAAAAGTAACACATTTTTTCATATAAAATATCTTTACATTTGATTATGCATGCATATATGCTAATATTTGAAATTAATCCTTTTAGAAACTTCATTGAAATGTGTAAAATTTTCAATAATTTTTAAATTTTGAAAGACGATAATAAATCCTTTTATTTTATCTTTTTTGCTTATTAAAAATTTGAAAAAATAAATAAATACTAAATGTAAATAAAATAAGTTTTCTAAAAATATACAATTTGCTTTTATGAAATTTAATGAAAAATAATAATAAATTCAAACGTTTGCACTTTTTCGATTAAATAATATTTGTAATAAATAAAATAAGCAAAGAAAATACATTTTAGATATATTTGTATGCACAGTTCCAGGCAATAAAAGTATTGCCAAGAAGTTTAGTCATGAAAATATTCATTCAGTTTTTTAACGATTTAATAAAAAATACGAAATTTTAAAAACTTAAATACTAAAAATTGGTACTTAAATATGCAAAAATTGTATTTATTTGAATACAAATATATATATATATATATGCAAAAATTATAGTTATTGAAATTAAAAAGAGTAGAAAATGAAGTACTTTCTGAGTACTATTTATTTTCAAAAAAGTTATTTAAAATATTATAATACAATTACTTCTTTTTGATTACTTTTTTAAATTGAAAAATCTTTACTGTAATTTATATTAATTCAAAATTTTTGTTAATACCAAGATTTGCTAGAAGATTTAGTAAGACAAAATAAAAAAAGCGTACTGGTAGCAAAATATTTTTTGATAAAATATCAGATATGTTAACATTAGTTTCAACTTGCCATTTGTTATCCAACAGACTAATCTACCTTTAATATTTCAATTTTCTAGTGGTGAAGTTTTTTAGTAAATCTAACAAAACACGTGGGATAACAGTTTCCTAGCAGTAACTTATTAACAATTGATAAGCTTTAATTATTATTTAAATCAAATAATACACAAAAAATTTGGCAAAAAAAATATTCATTTTTAACTAAATAATATTTGTAAAGTTTATTTTTAATTAAATTTCCGAGCAATTTTTATCCAAAATATTATATTATACTTTAACTTGTATATGATTGACTGCTAACAAATTAGAAATACTAATATTTTGAAATACTTAAAAACTGTAATTTTATTTTTTTTGTAATGCTTTTTTCACGTCTGATCACAACGTCAATTATTGCTTTTTAATTTATTTCACGGAAAATTTTTTCAGATCTTTCTGTCTTTCTAATACTACGTTATTTGAGCAAGCACGAAATTTGTTATCTTACGTGTTTTGATAGTTTTACTATTCTTGTGATCATCATTTTTATTACTGCTATGTTATTTATCCTCGTCGTATTATCAAAGGTTTCTTGAAGTAATGACGATACTGAATTAAAAGCCAGGATAGATAATGAAGACGATGGCATATAATAATTGAAAATAATAATAATAATGTGGGATAATAATGATACTGGTGTAATAATAAAGACAATAATAGTAACAGTAATAATGATTAATAAATAATAATTTTAGTCTATGTTTATATTATACCGATGATTTATATCTTTCTAATCAATATTACATCTTTTAAAATGCAACTTTTGTTAACTTCTTGCTCGTATCAGATCATTTTTTGAATAAATATGAACAAATAATGATAAATTCAAAGTAATTGCAACTATACTGCCAATTTATTTGTTTTTTTGTACCTTTGAAGACAGTATAATTGGCGATAATACAAATTAGGTAATTAATTAATTGTTATATTATAAAATTTGATTTCCATAGTAACCACTACTTTGATAGCGAAATACATTTGCTAGCATAACTATGATACTAAAGTTCATATCTACGATATCAAATTGCTAGAAATTATGGTTGGAAATGTCAAAATTAAATTATTTCACACTTTATTTCTGCTCAAAAATAATTTCATTCGATAAATGATCATTTGACAGCAATTAACAAATGATAATTAGCAGTAATAATCATCTGTTATTATTATTACTATTCTCAATTTTGCCATCACTGATATCCATTACTGACGTCCATCACTGATATCCATTACTGACGTCCATCACTGATGTCCATCACTGATGTCCATCACTGATGTCAATCAGTCCATTATTCATTGAAATTAATCCATTATGAGCTGCAACTCATATCAGTACTTCAAGGATAAATGTTTATGCGAAAACTTGTTTTGCACCTTTCATATTTATATATAAAGTAATAATTACTAATAATTTTATTTTAAATGGTAGAAAATGAAAAATGTTAAGCGAAGCTGAAAACATCGCTATGCACTTCCAACATTTCAATTTTAAAAGCAGAACGAAATTAGTATTGGTTTACTTATAACCAAACTTAACTTTATTATGCATGCTCAAATTACGCTTAAATGTAAATTTTTGACAAGAAGAAATCAAAACTTATCTTTATCCCACAAATAAAAACTTAATATTCAAAAATAAATAAATAATGAAACTTGGCATGCGAAAAACTTTTTATCAAATAATTTTAGTAAGATAATTTGCTTCAAATTTATATAACTTTCTCTTATCACTTGATTAAGTGGTCGTCTTTCACTTTTGCATATTTCACGTATTCATAATTACAAAATATTACAAAGTACACGTTTAAATCCATTATCTCTAAAATAAATTTAGTATAAATATTAAATAAGTTAATAATGGAAAGTGATATATTTAGACAATGACCCACAACTACTGCAGTACGGTAACAATCAAGATCTTGTTGATATGGCTAAAGAACTGAATCGTATTAACACATTTTCGGATACGAATCGTGATGTCAATCGCCATTTTGGTGAGCAAATTATCATTTTTTCAGGTTTATTTATCTGCAAGCAATAATGTGAATAAGTAATTTTGTTCTATCTACTGAATAAGGCATTTTTCACCTCAGATCACAAAGTCAATTATTGTTTTTTATTTATTTCATGAAAAACATTTTTAGACCTTTCAGTCTTTCTAATTATGACATTACATTACTGCAGCAGATATCTGAGTCTCTAGTTTACCTTCTGTTAATGCGTTTCATTTCACATTTTAATTCAGTCAGTTTTTAAGTCCATATTTTAATTCAGACAGTTTTCAAGTCCAAATACTTTAGTTTGTTCAGTTTGTAACCAGAATACTATCACTTTTTAGCTTTAAATTGTAAATTTTTTTGCTTCTTTTAAGAAACATGCACGAGTGTATTGCACGCTTGTTTGAATATTTTGAACCATAAAAAATGCCTAAATATTAATCATTAAAAGTAACTTTTTTAGTCAAAACTGTGTATTTTACGGATGATTTTGTAAATCTTTTTGCTTTCTTTTGATCCAATCTCACCCCATTTTTGTTTCGATGAGATAAACTAATTTTAATACTTGCAGGCATACTTACAATGTAAGTATTTCAGGTCGCAGTTTACTAAAAATTTAAAAAACATCGAAATTACTAAAAATAAACCATTTAAAAATTCAAATGTTATGTAAAATATTGAACTAATATTTTAAATTAATATTTAAAAATGTTTAATAATAATGAATAAAATTATGACAAAAATTTGTGTATTAATTTAATCAAAAAATTTTTCAGCATATAATGAATATGATGCAGTAAATGGAAATGATTTGTACGATATCGAATTAGCGGAAGAAAATTCAAACTTAAGACAAAATAATTTTAAAGATCTAAATGATAACTTAATGGTAGTGGCACAAAGAAAGGGACAAAATGAATACGTTGAATTCATCGAGCCAAAAGTATCAAATCGAGTAAAATTCATTGAAACAATCAAAAGAGGAGAGGTAAACGATGAAGCAAATGCGCAACCTTACTCGCAACTTCGTTTCAGCAACTTTATCTTCATTGGTACATTCTTCATATCAATTCCAATATGCTAATTTTTGCTTTAAAATTATATATATATATATATATATATATATATGAATTTATTTTACAGAG